CTCTGCTTGCACATGACGTCACTACGAGTCATTACGCGTCATCTTGGTTGATTTTAAGCTTGTTAAGCCGTTTACAGCGAAATAGGTGATATGATTCGCGTAAACCACGCGCGGCGATCACGAAAAGAAGATGACCTACAAAATATACTGAAGATGAATTATTAAATTTTTAAACTTCAGAAAAGCTTGTTTTTCCTTGAATATTTTTAAGCAAATTTGAAAATGTTATCATCAATATTCCTCGCTCCAGGTCTACAAATGATAAGTATACCACGGCAGATCTTCTGTCGTATGCTATAGTATACCACGGTGCAGTGCGTAATCATGGATTTGAGTGAAACACCGTAAAAATTACAAGGTCATATCGTACAACAGCTGTTTTTTGATTGGACAATTTGAATTTGAGGGATAATATTTATTATTTATAGACCCTCCGAACGGAGGATTCGGTGAAGTATTACTCGAAGTGATTATATTATTTTAGTATTTTTCCACAAGTGAATATATTAACAAATCCTACAAGTTGATACACGTGGTCATCGCGTGTGGCTTACGCGAACTATATCACCCGGGTTGTATGATCGAATCACCCGCTACGTCAAATATGATTACCTAAGGCGTAATTCGATAATAAATTTCATGCTCACGTGGCATAGCTGCGCAACCAAGATTTATTTGCACACATCCAGGGAACTTTCTTTCGAACAATTTGTGTACGTACTAAGGCGTCATATGTCCTCGTGTGCTGACGTTTTAAAAATGTCTTATGCAAGACTGTAATAAAATATGCAAAACAATAAAGAATTCCACAGTTCAAAATAATCAAGTTTAGAATCAGCTGATCATGAAGTACATACACATTTTATCCCCAAAACTCGAAAGATTTGTTGTTGAAATGAATGTTTATCGTTTAGTTATTAAAATAACTTTTTTCAAAACTGCCATGTCACGACACTGCGTCTCTTGACTAATGCACTTGTAAAATAATCCCCTTGCCGCCGGAATTTGCCGTTTCGTAAACCGCCAGGGTGAAGCTACGTTTACACACAACGATTAATCAGGCTTAATTCAGGTTTGCCGAATGTTAATGACGAATATCTTCAGATTACGTTAACAGCGTATATTTCAAATATCGTTCAATTAAAGCTAAATTAGTCTGCGTATAGCGGCTCTCAGAGAAAGTAGAGCCTGCACGAAAACCCATGCTTTGCCGTATTTACCCGTTCTCTCAGAGGACGAGAAATCTGATTGGTTCAAAATGAAAAAATATGTTATTTATGCTAAATTCATACAAACACGGCGGATTAGCGGATGTGTATTAGGGAGTTTACGCATGTACGACGGCGGCGTCAGAACGACGGCTAAACAAACTTTTTGAAATAAATGATTGTATGAAAATGTTGTCCTGTATTTACTTTCTTATGAATTTAATACAATTTAGAACGAGTAAAACAGAGCTTTAACCTTCCGAGCAATTTTGATTAACGCTGTTAGAAAAATTGCCTGCCACGGCTGGAAATGCTAGCCTACTTTACAAGACGTGAAAATATGCATTTTGCCGTCGTTGACAGAGCATGGACGACAGATATAGTTTTAGATATAGTTTTAATTATTCATTTCCTTTGTGCTATATGATTAATAATATTGTACTGATAGCCGTCGTCCTGACGCTGCTGTCTTACATGCGTAAACTCCCTATTATTGAGAGGCGTTTCTTTGAGTTTTGCATTCAATAGAGCTTAATATTAATGGCCACGACTTACGGTTCAACATTAAAGGTATTTACGAACTTGGTTCACGAAGCTCTAGAGATATTGATTGTGGTGTCTTCGTTGGATTTCTGTCTGTTAGCAGCACCTCTTTCACAACTCACGAGCGTGTTCGTTTTCATAAATTCATCGACGACAAATAGATTTTTTCTTCATGATTTTGTAGCTAAGGCCTACTCTGGGACCTTAACTCGCTGCGAGATAAGGCGAGCCTATGCGAGTTAAGGCGAGAAAAGGCGAGTTAAGGAAAAATCTGGCTACTGACCCTTGCGAGTTAAGGTCCCAGAGTAGGCCTTAGCTAATAATTATGTGCCAGGAGAGAATTGCTATAAATGCTTATGTCTTATGAACAGGACTTGCTCTCTGTGAAGTGATGGCTTTAAACACCTTTAGTATTCTCTTCCCAGCATCGCTAGAAACTTTAACATTTAATACATCACGGTTGACCGCTGTCGAAACTATAAATTATATTTGTACGTGCACGTGTGCGAGAAAGCCACGAAATATCGTAGATACGGACTGCAAACTACTTGTGACAACGATGGAGATTGCCCTAGGTCTAGCGCTATCCCCACAGACTTCAATTTTTTTAGCAGCCATCCGTATATTACAGTATTTTGTTTTGAAATTTGCGAACATACAGCAATCTATATTTATATTTCATTTTGATAAGTAAATTTGCAAGCGTGAACAATCTGTGTGATTGGCCAATTTTGACATCTGTTTAAAGTGGGCGTAGCCCGCAGGCTAAGTGGGCGGAAATGGGAAAGCATGGGTTTTCGTGCAGGCTCTACTTTCTCTGAGAGCCGCTACGCAGGCTAAGCTAAATTGGCCCGATTAACCTGTATGTATAAACGTAGCTTAACCAGTAACAATCAGTTTCACCACTTTCAGCGTGCGTCACTTCCGGTGAATATGAAACAAGATATTCACCACGCAAAATACGAGCTTAAAATAAAGTTGGGCGATATGTTGGAAAACCATTCCACCCAGTACACAAACTATGACCGGTCCCTTATTACTTTCAATAAACTTTTTAATAGATGGATTTATTCAACTCCCTGCAAAACACAAGCAAGACGTCGGCATTTTGAGCAAAGGCCTTTCGACTTTGTCTGGAAATTAATAGACGAAGACCGTTCAAAATTATAGTATTGCTGTACTACAGTAACTTGGGTATGACTAATTGACGGAAATGCAGACCACGCAGCTGCGGAACTTGCGGAATTTGCGGACCCTGCGGAACGTAATAATATCACTTTTTTATTCTTGTACAAACAAAGGGGACTCACCACTGAACAAGAAGTGTAAAATAATCAAAATAATAAACTTAATTTAAACTAGTTTGCATAAATTTTCGCAAGAATGTCGATATGTATGGAGAAAGAGCAAAACAATAGATCTATATAAAGTACTATAAAATCCTCAAAAGGTAGGTAATGCGGGCGCGTATGAGGTAATAGCATAATTAATAATAAATAAATTAATAGAAGCTAGGGTTGAAACACTGGTCACACGACCGTTGGATGTTTGCCAAAAAGTAGCCTATCCCACTCGGAGATATCTGATCCCAGTTTGGAAATGCATCTCAAAGATATTTTTGATTAAAGAGCAATTTCTGATTATTTATATTTGTAAAAACTTAATATTGAAACCATAGTTTATACCGGCGCCAACAAATCACCGCTATTTCTAAAATTTGAATGCAAATCCGACCATCTCACGATTGCCGAACTTCATCCGACTGGATAAGCCGCTCTTGCTACACATATCGCGGCGAAAATTGCGGAGAAAACTAGCTTGCTGTTATAATCATTTTGGGAAAGATTTATCTCTGTTATTTCTTTACTAGATACCTTTGTTCGTCTAAGAGAATGCTAATTACGTTGTAAAATAGTCAAATTATGCCGAAACGGTTAAATTGGAGAAATTTTAAAAAATTACGTGACCGGTGTTTTAACCCTTCTCTCTCATACGCGCACGCATTACTTACCTGTTGAGGATTCTAAAGTACTTCATATAGATAACTGTTTTTAGTATCGACATTCTTTCAAAGAATCTATGCAAATCTTTTAAAGGAAGTTTATTATTTTGATTAGTTTACACTTATTACTGACAGTAGTTGAGCCCCCTGTCTTTGTACAAGAAGAAAAAGGTGATATTATTAAGTTCCGCAGGTTTCGCAGTTGCCGTTAATTAGTCATACATTTAATATTGCAGTAAATATATGTAGTGCTGACAAGTCAATATGCAACAATCAGCCGTTCTCACGATGACGAATATCCGCCATTTTTGGGTGGCATCTAATTATATTCTCGTTAACCAATGCAGACAACTAAAACAATGTGAAAAGCTATTTTTCAAAATAACTAACTAGGCCGTTTGCCGTGACCTAAAAATATGCCTAGAAAACGATTTTCATTAAGCATGTCGTGGAACTGAAATATTTTCACGGTAACTAACATTTTAGAACACGCTGAATTCAAATCCGAAAAGTTGCCGCTGCGTAGACCCGCAGTTTTTTCACAAATTGCATTTGTATTTTCAGTTCTTCGACGAACAAAATAAGCACGCGCCATTTTGAAATTAAATAACATCACTCAGAGTATGCCGTTTAACCTGTTTTTGCTCCCCAGTCTCCGATGCTCATGACCGAGTTAAGATTTAGAGCAATGTTATTAAATTTGCTGCAAAACAAACACAGTCACGTGGTTTTAAAAATGGCTAGTCAGATTGATTTTCAGTTTATTTGCCAGTAAAATCGCTAAAGAATCTGAATGAGAAATAGAAGTTTAAATTATTTATTTGGCAGAGAAAAGCAATAAGGTAGGTGTTCCCTTTGTATATTTTTTGAGTTTGTTTAAGGCTAATGGCCTATAGAAGAACAAACAAGTGATTAAGAGTGAACAACCATCACGATTTATTCTGGTTTTATAGCTGTTCTGACTGGAAAGTTTGGAAATTGCACGGGGAAGATTTCGAAAATTTAATAGTAAATATGTAGGAAGCATCAAAATTGCGCGGAGAATTACTTCCCCGCGCACAGCAAAGATTCCAGTCTGGAATTAGCTGTCAGACACATTATAAGGAAAGGATTAATTAATTAAGCCAGTCTGCTTGAAAACTCACAGTAAAATTGTTCTATATCAAGTCTGCTGTTTATGGGAGTTATTGTTGGTCATAAGGTGTAAAGTAATTTATGGAAACTGTTATTCAAATATTGATATATCACCCCATGAAATGTCAAGAAGGCCAACAAAACCATGAACATTTGCATAATTAGTATAAATGATTATTATATCTGCATAACCTGCTGCTGACTTATTTATTCCATGCTTTATTGCATCTTCAAGATTTAGACTGTGCTAGAATATATACACACAAGAATATGTAATAGGATATACAAATAAGATTCTGCATGAATAGATTGGGTCTAATCTCGTATTAATTTCGTCAATTACAAGGAAAGATGTTTGGCTGACAGAGATCAGCCTGGTTTTGAGATCTACAGTAGCCGCTCATATAAGCAGCCCTAAATTAGAATATCTACAATCCTGGAAAAAATTATTGTGGACAGTGTGCGCAAAAATACAAATACCTGCCTTGGCCAAACATACATGCAAAAACAGCATTTTTTGACTGTTGAAAAGCTTCTAGATCGGTTAGGCGAAAGCTCTGTGACTGACGGGGGAGATGAAGATGCCAATATGTGTATGTGAACAGTAATACTTTAATCGTTCACACCTATAAGTGTCCACAGAATTTTTGCCATGATTGTAGCTATGGGTGGAAGCAAAACTGTGAAATACATATTCAAATATATTCAACAGCATAATGTTTTGTTGCCCAATTTGACAAAGTAATACTTTATATGTTGTTATGCTGGGTTTTTTTCCAGCTTGACAGTAAACAAGCTGTTTGTTTTGTTTTATAACCTGTTAGAAATAAGGAAAAATACATGAGTCCCCAGGCAGCTGTGCTTGGATCTTAACCCTTTAAAGTAGTTGCATTGCTCCCCAATGCACCCTACTTTATTAGTCTACTCTGTCTAATGCCAGACAATTTTACTCGTCAAGTGGAAAGTGCTGGTGCTCATGCAATAGGTTAAAGGTGATCTACAGTCCGATCTGTGCATGTGCACAAATGAGCCCACTTTTTATGATACAAACAGTTTAATTTAACTATGTTTTGAGTTCTTGAAAAGCCTGATTGTTGTTTCTTGATCATTTATTATACTCTAGAAGCTTGAAAATATAAATAGTTGTCGAATAAAGCTCAATATTTTGGACACAAAAATGTAAACAAAGGCTTTGTTTACATACGGACTGTAGATCACCTTTAAACACCCAGGTCACTAACCTGGTGCTCTACTGTGCAGTTGAGCTAAATGTGTCCAATGACAGGCCGTGTTCAGATTTGTGTACTCTGCCCTGCATGGGGAAAGCCACATACGAATAGAAAATATTTAATACAAGTTTAGTCCCAATCTATTCATGCAGAATCTTATTTGTATATCCTATTACATATTCTTGTGTGTGTACTGAATATTCTTGCACAGTCTAAATCTTGAAGATGCAATAAAACATGGAATAAATAAGTCAGCAGCAGGTATAAATAATCATGTATACTATGCAAATATTCATGGTTTTGTTGGCCTTCAACATTTCTGACATTTCATGGGGGGTGGTAAATCAAATAATCAATATTTGAATAACAGTTTCTATAAATTACGTTACACCTTATGACCAACAATAATTCCCATAAACAGCAAAATTGATATGGAACAATTTTACTGTGAGTTTTCAAGCAGACTAGCCTTTAATATATAATATGTGTCTGAGAGCTAACCTGAATAAATCGTGATGGTTGTTCACACTTGTTTGTTCTTCTATACTATAGACCATTAGCCTTGAACAAACTCAAAAAATATACACAGAGAACACCTACCTTATTGCTTTTCTCTGCCAAATAAATAATTTAAACTTTTATTTCTCATCAGTCTTTAGCGATTTTACTGGCAAAAAACTGAAAATCACTCTGACTAGCCATTTTTAAAACCACGTGACTGTGTTTGTTTTGCAGCAAATTTAATAACATTGCTCTAAATCTTAACTCGGTCATGAGCATCGGAGACTGGGGAGCAAAAACGGGTTAAACGGCATACTCTGAGTGATGTTATTTAATTTCAAAATGGCGCGTGTTTATTTTTGTTCGTCGAAGAACTGAAAATACAAATGCAATTTGTGAAAAAACTGCGGGTCTACGCAGCGGCAACTTTTCGGATTTTAATTCAGCGTGTTCTAAAATGTTAGTTACCGTGAAAATATTTCAGTTCCACGACATGCTTAATGAAAGTGAACGATATGGGGTCACGGCAAACGGCCTAAACCATTTACAAAGCAAATTTACCATCTTTGTCCAAAAAGCTATAAAAAGCCACTGTTATGCGGACTTTTCTCACAGAATTCAGCTAAAAAGCCACCCAAAAATGGCGACGCGAGAAAGGCTAATTTACATTTTATCATTTATACAAAACTAGTTCAAGTGGGCGGTGTTAATTAACAATTATCCGCCGAAGGCGAAGTGATTACGCATCGGTGAATATTCACCGAGACGAAGTGGAGGTGAATATTCACCGTAATCACTGAGCCTGAGGCGAATACTTATTTTAGTATAAATTTTTAACGAATAAAACAAAATATCCAAAAACATTTTCGTCTGTTTACGGTTACTGTCATTAATAGTGTTGCAGTATTTCTTGTACGCATACACTTTTAAAATGGCTTCTTTTGTGACGTTATTGCTTTTATTACAAAAGTTGTTTTTCTCGACTCTACTTAGAATATAAACACAATAACGGAAGGACTTTTTCACCAGACTTAGAATAAAAAAAAGTTTTTGTTTAGCATTAATTTTTTAAAGAAATGGTTGAGAATTTTGGTAAAATGAAATGTAAAACTATATCGTTCTAAATAAAGTTTTAACAACACTTTTCACTTTACAAGTTACGAAATCACAAAACAGCGGTCAGAACACCATACAGCACAATGAAAACATGACATACAAATTGAGAAATCTATAGGATACAAAACAAAATGAATTTAAAAGAATATCATGCACGGTTTTTCAGGGGCGGATCTAGGATTTTTCGCACGTTAGTCATAATTTTATGACGTCATCGATGACGCTACTGGTATGCCTTTATCTGTCCTAACGAAAGACGCTCTATATAAAGGCTATAAGCCATGGCCATGGCCCAACGTGTTGGTTGACAAAAATATCAGCGAATTTGGTAAGACACTTTTTACTTTACATTTATTTTACAATAGTCATACACATATATTGCTATTTTTATGTTTATTGACTCTGTAATCCAAATCGGTTTCTGTATTCTATCCTTCTTACACATGTGCCAACCCCAACTCCCTGCTGATCAGACGAGTCCATGAGACCATGAAGGACGAAACGCCGCGTACAGGGATATTGAATTTTACACACATGACTATCTCATTCTCTCGCTCTATATATTTTACATGCCTCCATACAAGCTTTTTAGTACAGCGCGATCATACTCTTTGTGTCTGATCAAATATATATTTTACACCACAGGATATATTTTACCTTTACAATTTTACACATGCATGCATCTTCAGTTTTGTGTTTCATAAATCAACACCTGCATGTAGGCTACTTATATTTCTTAGGTTCACATTTATACAAATACAAGTCGTTTTTTTATCTTTTATCCTCAGTTTCATCAAATACAACATAATTTTCACAGGCATACATTGTGCCAACAACACGAGCCTATCACACTATCATATTTCACACAGCACTTTTTGATATAGCATTTAGGGATTATTGATGCATAAAATTATTACTAGGACACCAATATGGTTCTCATTATATCTAAACTTAAAAAACAGGTTATGAAGATGTTCCATCTTTTCTTAAGCAGTGATATCTATAAATAGGAGTCTGTATTTTTCTCTGCATGCAGTACATATCCCACTATAAATCACGGCGCAACGCAAAATATAGCCTTTGCCTCAGCACTCAGCAGCAATAATTAAGAGTCCTTTTAGTGGAAACTCCTGTGCCAGAAAGATGTGCCATCTTTTGCTGGCAGGTTATGAAGATGCTCCATCTTTTCTTAACCAGTGAAAGCTAAATAGGACTCTGTGTTATTCCTTGTATACAGTACAGTACATATTATACTATAAAGCACGGCGCAACGCAAAATATAGCCTAGTTGGCTTTGCCTTTGCCGGAATAATTAAGAGTCCTTTTAGTGGAAACTCCTGTGCCAGAAAGATGTGCCATCTTTTGCTGGCAGGTTATGAAGATGCTCCATCTTTTCTTAACCAGTGGAAGCTAAATAGGAGTCTGTGTTATTCCTTGTATACAGTGCAGTACATATTATATTATAAAACACGGCGCAACGCAAAATATAGCCTAGTTGGCTTTGCCTTTGCCGGAATAATTAAGAATCCTTTTAGTGGAAACTCCTGTGCCAGAAAGATGTTCCATCTTTTGCTGGCAGGTTATAAAGATGCTCCATCTTTTCTTAACCAGTGGAAGCTAAATAGGAGTCTGTGTTATTCCTTGTATACACTAAATATTAGTATGTTGCACTATAAATCACGGCGCGCGCAACGCAAAATACAGCATTTGCTCCTTTTAAGAGTCCTTCTATTGTGAAGATGCTTCATTTTTCTTAACCAGTGGAAGTTATTGAGAGTCTGTATTACAATTATCCCTTGAAAATTATGGAGCAAAAGACGTAACGCAAATATATAGCCTTTCAAAATAAATTATCTTGTATAATTATATAATCTATTTTCCGCTCCTTGCGCGACCTTTTACCAATGTAGGCCTATTGCAAACCGTAAGGGAAAACAATCTAGTCGGGAGATATTCATACCATATACCTAAAGAACGCATTGCGCATCTAAACCAGAAGCATCTTTTGGCGCATCTAAGCCAAAATAGCATTGTGAATTAGCTACACCTGGAATGATATCTAGCGGTATCTTGTAGTGTTAGCTCTGTCAACAATCAAGCCATTTATTTGTACTAAACTGTACCTAAAATATCATATAACATATGTAGGTTAATATTCGGACTAAAATTAAACTTATTACAAGTTTGATCTCACACTGTGTTTGAGCAGTTTCTCCTGGATTGATGACATCGCATAGCGTTAATTGTTGGTGGGTAAGCTGCACCCGCTTCCTGAAAAATGCAAACTCAGTTTGCAAATCCCGCTGGTTTTCAAAACGTGCGGTACGATTATATAAAACAATACATTCCCCATTGTGTTTAATACACCATAATAATACGAAGCTCTCTTTGGAGCTTTTAAAATACATTTGCCTGCCAACGTGTATAACACGGGAAGGGGTCTATTTAAACTTTTCCTAAGTCATTATATTTAATATACTGCAATATTTATAACTGTAGTACAGCCATACAGGTGCAAAGCATAATATAATTTTGAACGGTCTTCGTCTACTACTAATTTCCAGACAAAGTCGAAGGGCCTTCGCTCGAAATGCCGACGTTTTGCTTGTATTTCCAGGCAGTTGAATCGCTATCCATCTATTGTAAAAAGTTTATTGAAAGCATGTAGCGCAGGCTATAGTAAATATGCAACAATTAAAATTTTAAGTCATCAATTTATACAAAACTATTTCGAGTGGGCGATGTTAATATGGAATATTAACTAAGTGGGCGGCATCAATTTGAATAGGGCTTTCGGGCAGGCTCTTTTATGGCTAACGCAAAACTTGATGACGTCATTTGACATGACGTCATTTGATGTCAGGATGATAGTCCAATTTTTGTGGAAGTATAGATATTTTGTTTTATCAAACTACAAATGCGTAAATGACATAATTTTCGTACCTGCCAATGTTCAGCATATGATATATTAATATATAGACTGTTTCGCCCTACAGTGTATACCTTGGTTCATCAGCATGCCTATAGGAAACACGTTTACCAAAAATAGTAAACCGTGATCCAACAAGGACAGCTTCTTGAATAAGCTGAACACAAGCACAGGTTTCTGGCTGCTTAAAACCAGATTGC